TTCGCGACGGACGTCCAAGATCAGCACCGTTTTAAATGCACGAAGTGTCACGCCATGAGCCTATATATGGTCACTGTGAAGGCCAAAGAGCGGAACAATGGCATCAGGTGAAAGACGAAAGCGCGGCGGTTTAGTGGCGCCCTATGGCCTTGCGACGAAAACTATGATGATGAAACTGTGCACTCTTGTATTCTAAGGGTGCGCTTAAGTCTTGGGTTTTTAGCGATGCCATTTCGAGCCTACAGCAACTAAATAAACCGGTACAGCTACTTACAATAAGGGATCATAAATAACACAGGATGCCCTAGGCCACTTGCGACTTCACTGAGAAATCATGCGTGCAACAACCGAAGATGGCGCCAGCCGTGAATGTAAAATAGGAAAGTTCTCCCAGGTCAACCCAATAGGATGTCGACACTCAACTTGAGGGCACGTCTAATGTTCGGTACGAGCGCCGTACTCCCGCGACGAAGGGCGCTGCTTGCTTTCATGCGCGTATAGCAGTGCCACAAGAATACATACGGCGGCGCCAGACTGGTCAATGAACAAATGTGGCACACATTCGTGCGACTGACTTCACGTACCACCCTTCCTTCGCGAGAAACGTCTGGAAGAGACGCGCATTTCCTGTGCGCCACGGAAGATTACGTCGACCCACAGCAGTCATCCTTTTATCTTTCTACCATCATTCTTTCTCCTTCATTTCCTGCTTCCCGTTCCCTGACGCTGCGCCGTGCTCCATATTGGGCTGCAGAATTAGGGTCAATTTAACAATAAACAATACTATTACTGCTAGTACTACTACTACACTCCAAAAAGTTTTCCGGGGGCTAGATTTCGTGCCGACCAGTTGTGTCCCCGCGATCTCCGACGACAGCGCAGCTCTGGCCGACTGAACTCGCCCTACGCCATCTCCTGACACCGACATGACCTCTCGCTGAGTGGTGCCCCGTCCTCGGACTTCTGCGACCGTGTCCATTTTTCTTATCTTCTCCTTACTTCCGTATGTAGCTGTCCCTGCGCCTCTCTCTTCCTGCTCCTCTCTTTTATCTCTATATATTTAATTCCTTCCTATCCTTATTTAATCCCTCCTTACCCATCCCCTGCGCAGAGCTGTAGAGGTGCCCTCCATTGGCTTCCTTTTCCTCTTTCAAAAAGTCACTTCTAAGTTTTCCAGGAGGTTTTTTGCTCCTTTGAGAGAGGAAATGTGCGCAGAAGATTGCACACGGGACGGCAAGGAGGGGCACTTTCCTTCTTGTGGAGTAAAGCACCCGTTCTTTGGGGTAACTGCAGGAATGTTGGCGCCGTGTGCAAACGATCAATCAGTGCCTACACAAGTATGCTTGCTTTCAGACGGTGCCGTAGCGCGCTGTGGTATGTAGTGCTTAGTGTACGCGCATGCTAGCTGAGTGGACGTGAGCTCGAATCGCGCATTTGCTGCGAATTTTCAGAACTTTATCTCTGGATGTGATGCTAGCACATCAAATGCACATCTAATCAAATGCCTGGACGCACTTCGAAAGGCTGGTTGAGTCAATCAATACCTGACCCATTTTTTTTTTTCGCAAAATGCCTGTTGCTCCTTCAATTACTTCTTCGATTTTACTCCCGAAATAGTGCAATGGGTGTGGCAGGTTAGTTACTCCTCTAAAGGCGCAACCTCGATACCCCTCTCTTCCTCATTTACTTCTTACATGGTATACTACTATTCCATGGAGAAGCGAGCCAAAAGCGGCGTCTCGAAATTCCACAGCGTGTGTGGTCTTCGACAGTCAATGCTGTAAAGGTTGGTACAAGTGACCACCGACGTTAATAAGAAGAGACACTCCTGCGATTCAACGATGCGCGTTTGATTCGTTTTATAAAAATATCACTCACGCGCGTCAAGCGCACACTATAGGCATGCTCCGTTCTAATAAGTGTTTTTTCAAACACTTTTTTTTTCAATCCTCAATGTTATAAGTGTTATTATGGCATGTCGTTCTCGAAAGACCCGACTAGGCATTGCGAACCAGAAACAGCGTTGCAGTAAACCACTAAAGCTGGACATTGAAGTGGTGCAGCGTGACACGCTTTCTAGAAGTCCGCGCACGCGTATGTATTCCGTCTCTATCGGAATGCGGCTCGCAAATGAATACGCCCAACAGCATCCAGTAAATGCACGGAATGGGGATAAATCACTGCGTTCCCTCCCATATTTCATACCTGTATACAGCTGCTCGTCGCACGGAGATGGGCAGTTTTGCACTGCAGTGCAGGATGCAGCAGACGCCTAGAAGGGCGGATGTGTCGCAAGGGGAATGACACGTTCCCGAGCACCGCTCAGAGCGAATGTCAGAGGCACGTCGACATTGTTGGCAGAAGCTCCCGCTTTCATTCGCTGAGCAAGCCACGTCAAAGACTAGACCTGCCATGATGTTCATTGTGACATTACGGTGAAACGGTGCCTTTTTTCGTTCTCACCCTCAACGGCTTGCGCAAAGCATCGCGGCACGCCAAGAGTAGCCGTTCTGATACAACGAAACTGATACAGCTTTTCGCTCTTATTGCGCTATAAAGTTGAAGAATATTCGGGCACCTATTGGGACACTACAGCAACGTTTCGGTGAGGGTCGATTGGGCAACGAAGAGCTATGTTTGTGGGTAGTGGAAAATAGTGCATTACGGTCTTGAAAAGCGCCTAAAGTTTTCACGACTCCGCGTAATATCAAAGGATAACGCGAGTGCGTGAAGGTTCGCGGCTCGTTGCCTAAATTTAGACGCAGAATTCCACTGAAGAGCGCGAGAAATCACTTCCCTGCAGTTGCCGGTTCTCCTGATGTGAAGTTCCAACGCAGGAATTTTTTTTTCCCTCGTAGTTCCAGTAGCGCGATTCCCACATCTCGGTTTTCCCCTCTCGTTAAAGTGGCGAGAATCTAGCCTGCGGTCTCGTGCTCAGCCGTCGTCAGAACTACGCATACGCAATCTAAAGCTGCTGATTCACCGGAGACAGGTTTCAAATTGAGCAGGGCGCGATACGCACGCCGACCTTCAACCGATCTACGAAAAACAAAAAGTAGTCCAGCGAACGAAGAAAAGTTCAGAGACGAAGATTAAAAATGCGCACCGAGAAAACCGCGATGAAATGCGGGAGCGCCAAAAATCCCAAAAGGAATTAAAGGTCTCCGGGTCGCCCGCTATAGGCCCAGGTGTGATCGCACGTGGCGCGGGTATCTACGAGTCCTTTCCCACCTGGCCTATATTCGGCCTCAATCTCCCTAATCGGTTCGCCGTTCAACACGTCTTAAAACTTTCAGGAGGCGGCCCCACTTTACTTTTGGGAGACTACTCTGGAACACATAAAAAGGGGTCAGCGCCAACGCCTTCTGGTGCGCCAGCCGCCTCGCCCACATCGGCCTGCAAAACACGGGGGCCAAAATACGCGACTGAATGTACTAAACGAACACAGCGTCAGTTAAATTTGCCAACACAACCTCGAGGACGGGCAGTGTGCGAGGAGAATGCACGAGAATTGCACACGTTAGAAAAGAGATACCTAAGAGGAAAAGCTGTCGGTGAAACTTGCTCTTAGCTGAGCAGTGCGTCATACGTCAGCAAAGAAGGGAGACGTGGCGCAAAGCACGAGAAAGTTGTCAATGAAGCGATAAATATTGCAGATAAGCAGCGACGCGGCAATTACTTCAAGGCCAGAGAGAGTTACTCGACGTTACAGATGTCTACAAGACACGCCAGCGAAACTCGGGTTTCTGTCGTCGACACACACAGCGACCGTTGAAGGAGCCCGTCCCTGACGTCAAGCAGGAAGACACACGATCCCCTGAGTCGAGAATCGGCACGCTGCCCCGAACCACACTACCGTGGATCCAAAATAACGCTGCTCGCTCTGGTGCCTTCGCGAATGGAGGGTGTCAGGGTAGAACGATTAACCAAAAGTAAACCAAAGAGAAACGATTCAGCAGTAACTGCGAGCGCATTCAAACGTCACTTTGGTAGAACTGCCTGGAGAGGCCACGATGTCACAGGCGCTTGTCGAGGCATCGCGCCTCGAGCCAGAACGCAGCCGAGACACACGGAAACCTCGAAGGGCGACACCTCCCACAGATTGAACACGGTGACTTACATGCAGCGCATCTGCGTTACACCCGGGTGCTCGACTTGTTCACAGTAGCTCGGTATTTCAGATAGTGATGTGTGTCGGACCCTTTCTCCGTTCAACCTCCCCCCCTCCCCCATTCACCCCATACGTTTCTCATAGACATGCACCACAGCAATGCTGTTCATCTTGTGCCACAGAGACTTGCGAGCATTCAACACTGAGGTCCGTTGCTGATGGGACCAACACGATATGCAGCTCTATGAGACAGAAGCCTTGAAGCTAACTTTACTCTGGATAACGACGTAGCTTGGACGGCAGGGCCCGTATACCACTACTGAGGATATCCCCGCACTCGTCGTTTTGGCGCACTGGCTTCTTTCGCGGTCTCGTTACCTCCAGTGTAGTGCGTCTATCGTCACGGCAGCGCACACAGTTCGCGCACCATTCATCGAGCAGTGATGGTCGGAAGAAGGACGCTGCCCGAGATTGCGACAAGAAGAGGATGTGCAGTAAAAGGACCATACCATAACGCAGGAAACACACATAAGGAATACAACTACAAGCACGCATTAAACAAAAAAATAACGATCGCGGTGATATCATTCACCAATTCTTGAAAAGCATTCGATCACGACACATGTTCACCTTTTCAAGGGCTAGCAATGACTTTCAAAACGAAGCACGAAAGACAAAAGAGTGCACGAGCGAGTTGGATAACACATACCCACAGATAGTGACTACTCAACGAGATTTTTTTTTAGCAAATAATCCGAATCAGAAAGTTCCGCCACAATTCAGCAGGCACCAACACCAATAAGGCGTACGCGGCTTAGAAGAAATTGCGGCGTGTGTATAACTTGAGTATCATGTAACTTGAGTATCACTGAAAGGAATACTGCCATACCTTCAGAAAAAGCCTGTGACGACCAAGCAAGTGAGATGCGTCTCCGAGGCACACTCTGCTCGACAAGAACGCCGCGGCAGAACTCAACTGGTGTCGCCTGCTCCGCTCAATTAGCCAGGAATAAAACGAGCTTCTCCACGGGACGCACACAACGGCAACCCGTTCAGCAGCGCGCCACTCATTCAAACACCCACTTGCACACGTAGTACGTCAAGGACGAGCGATGCAGACAGACGCGTACGCCAGCACCTATGCAGACGCAAACCCACGCGAAAAACCGCGGAATAAAAGGCCACGCTTCGGGTGCATGGGCGGCAGTGTCACGTGGCTTCCGATATGAACAAATTTAAACACAGAAAACCTGCAAAAAAGAACGAGCGATACGCGACCTTCTCAGCTTTCCCACTCGTCGCCGAAGAAGGACAGCGAGACTGGACGTGAGCGAAAATTTCCGGCACGGCTTGCCTTTTGAATTCGGAATACACACTCGCCAACGCGCCGCCGTTTGCTTGTCCAAATATGGCGCGCGACCTGAGCGCGACGCGCCCACACCGCGGAGATCGACGTCCACCAGACTGCAGAGGGTATACGCCGAGATGCGGCGGCACGGCGCCATTCACAGGCCCGAACAGGCGTGTATAAAAGCGGAGCCGGCTCTAGTAAAAAAAGTCCTGCTGCAGCTTCGTGGAACGAAAACAGCAGACAGAATGGTCCCGATCTTTGAACAGCCGGCAGAAAGTCCATTCTCGTCTCAGCCTGGAGGAGGCACTGGGCTGCGGCAATCCGGAGGAGACAGAAATATCGCGCCCCGTTCACCTTCGCTGCAAACGAGGCATACACTCGCGATGGCGCGGCTGATAACCTCACGGAGCAGTGGGGCTCAAACACACTACTACTGCAACTGCAGACAGCGGGCAGGCACCAGAGCACAGGTGTCAACGAACTGCACCACTGGCCCATGCATGCTCGTTCATCTTACCCCTCTATATACGAGTATTAGTAAACATCCGCAAAAACACACACACACACACACACACACCGGGAAGGAAGCGCAAGGCCGACATGTGTAAGCGCTCGTCTTCGTCCCTAATCTGCCTACTAGACCGGCATGAAAACCTTCGCAACGTGGTTTCCACGATCGAAGGTTCCAGCTTTCTCATCTTTATATATATAGGTAAGCGAATCATGAAACTCCAGTTGATTCCCGCAAAATTAGACTCACAAACACAACTCTACTTTTTTTTCTTCTCTTTTCCTTTAAATGCGGAGCATTTCTTAGTGAACTTCACCGACTTTCAGCGTGTGTGTGTGTGTGTGTGTGTGTGTGTGGTGTGTGTGTGTGTGTGTGTGTGTGTGTGTGTGTGTGTGTGTGTGTGTGTGTGTGTGTGTGTCTGTCTGTCTGTCTGTCTGTCTGTCTGTCTGTCTGTCTGTCTGTCTGTCTGTCTGTCTGTCTGTCTGTCTGTCTGTCTGTCTGTCTATCTATCTATCTATCTATCTATCTATCTATCTATCTATCTATCTATCTATCTATCAACGACTCTTAGCACTCCAGGCCATCTCTACAATGGTGTCGATACCAAAATTGGTATGACATAACATGACTGTATGACGAGCGTAACTGACTAATCAGAACATCAAAATCATGGCATGTATGCCATGAATGTTTTGATTTACATTGCATGGTCTTGCTTTTCTTGCAGTAGTTTGGTTCACAAGACGTTTTGCAAAACTGGTATGGTATGGCATGACTGCATGGCGAACAAAGGTGACAAACCCTAACGTGAAAATCATGACATGCATGTCATGATTTTCATGTTATGACTAGTCAAGACTACGCGCCTCGCTCATGGTGCGCTCGCAGTCGCTCCTCTAGGGTCACATACCAAATTTGGTATTACGGAACGTGAATGGCTGACAAGGTACATGATTGGTGCAAACATGATAATCATGACATGCATGTCATGTGAAACATGATTACATGCTACGCTCATAGCGTGCTCGCGGTCGTTTGCTAGCTGCACATGCACCGAATTCGGTAGATGACGTGAATAGACGACAAAGGAAAATTACACATCCAAACATGATAATCATTATATGTTTGTCATGTAAAACATGATTTCACGCTACGCTCATAGCGAGCTCGCGACCGTTTCGCTAGCTCTACATATACCAAATTTGGCATCATGTGACGTGAATAGATGACGAAGCACGTCCAAACATATGATAATCATGACATGGAAGTTATGTACGGCAAAATCGACAAAACGACAAAAACAACAAAAGTGACATATAGACCTTCCTCATTCGTGCATCGCATATAATTGATTCCCACAGTACGTGGGATCTACCAAATTTTCTTTCTTTCACTTGAGGAGATTACAGCCTTCGTGAAACATTCTTGGTCATTCTCAATCAGCTCGAGGCCGCGACTCTCGTGCGAAAACCCACACAAAAGCTTTTCTCGGTCTTCCAAATACAGCTGCGAGGCAAAGAAGGACAGCGTCCCGAGTAGGCACTGTCTGGTGCGCTGCAGGACTGAATTTTACGGCGAGGCTTTGCGGGAACGTCTTGTGATTCTGCCATCACATGGACTCAAAACGTGCGACAAAGACTTGGTCAGCTTTCGCGAGAGTATTTCGGCGAAGCGGCAAAAGATATCGTGTCCAACAATCCTGTAGACGACGTCCGGAATCCTATTAGAAGCATGACTGACTTTTGGCACCCGGTCAAGCCCTTCGCAATAATTGCCGCCACGGTCGTCTTTGGTAAAATTAGGAAAGCAAGTAATTTGAGTTCCCTTAATTGGCCTCCAATGGCTTGACGAAGAGGACAAGTCTCCCTCTGAGTCTGTCTGTCACTGGCATCACAGACCCGTCACTCATGCGTGCATTGAACTGCGGGAGAACAAAGCAGCCGGCGTACACAAAGCAGCCCCACCACTGGCAGGGGCTTGCATTGGGACGACGCGGCACAATCTGCAGTGCAAGCGGGTGCCTCTGGGTGGATCCAATCGCCATACCCCACTCACAACTAATACCACGGGGTCAAACATATACTAAGCGTCAGTCCAAACCACGGTGAACAAACAAGAAACTCCTTCCATTCCGACTCCATTCGGAATTCTATATACGTAAGGAGCGAAGACGAAATATGAGTAATTCCGCTTGATACAAAGGTCCGCACACTGACGGAGAAGTGAAAGGCGTATAGATTTCATATAGCCAAGTCTGACACACGATAGCTAATAATAGACTTTCTCACAGAGCAAACTGATGGCACCCTCAGCTACTGAATTTCAGTCGTCTTTGTGCAACCTATCACGAGAACACGAAAAAAAAACAATACTCCACCATGCAATGCTTACCTCTAGAAATATATTTGTTATTTTTCTTCAGGAGCAAGCAAGCGCATTACTTTACTGCCCTGACGCGCTCCTAGCGTCAAGTGAACTACAGCACCACGGACTGAGAATAACTTGGGCGGGCTGTTTTCGTTAGAAACTTTGTTTTTTTTTTTGTTTCTGGACTAAAAAGTAGCCATGTGCACTGCTCAGCGCGATGGCGCAGCTGCGCATGCGCACACGGCTCTGCTATCTGACCTTGCGCCAATTCGCTTTAAAAGAAAGGCGATGTCACAGCGACGGCCTGCCTTATCATTTAAAGGTAATAGTAAAGCCAATCACAAGTTACATTTGTAATGATGTTATTTTATTCCCTTCTCTCCATTAGCAGATTCACTCACATAATGGCGCGATAACCAATTTGAAAACTACAAACGCAAAGTTGGTGAATACCACGACCCCACCCTTCTCGGCAATCGAGAGGTCGTGAATAGCTAATGTCTGATGTGTTCGTAGAGCAAAACCACAAAGAATGGGTGTCCTATGCCGAGACTTCGTTCAGAAGAAACGAAGAACTGAGAGTGCGGGGCACGACAAGGGTGAAACATTGGAGGAGCGAGAGATGCGAAGCAAAATAATCAAACGTGAGAGAGAAGCGGGGGAGGGAGGGCCGCCATAACGGATGCACGCCATAGTACGAGTGGGAGACGGAGGAACCGGTATGCAGCGGCGGCAGAAAAGGTGCCGGCCGGCCGTTCACTGTACATGGGCCAGACAGAAGAGTGCTCGCCGCCGACAAGGCCGGCACTTTGAGGGAGGGCGGCAGAACCCTCCGCAGTCTGGACCGACAGCGCAAAGGATGCCAAAGCAAAGTCTCGTTTCGCAAGGCGTCTGGGATGGCGGACTCTGGCATGTAATACCAGTGTGTGCACAATGCTGCTTTCACAGGGCGCGTGTGGAAAAGGCGCCGACAGGACAGAGTGCGTACGAATGATCTATACCGGCAGCAGAGAATCATTGGTTGAGGGTTACAAGGCAGCAGCGGGAACTGGACTGTCAAATAAACCCGGTGAAAAACGCTTACCAGTTGCGTCAGAGCGTATTGTCGTAAAAATATGCAGAGTTTTCATCTACGACGTTATACCTGGAAACGTCTTAATCTCATCTGTCCGCCTAATTTTCTGTCTCCCTCTAACGCATTTGTCTTGTGATTCTGCAATGCCTGCACGAACGCTAATATACCGCCTGAATCAAATGGCTTGTCGTAATCTATGAAGGCTGTTTATAGGGGTTAGTTGTATTCCGTGTATTTGTTGATCAGCTTACAGATAGTACGACTATGGTCTATCTTTGAATAACCTGTATGAAATCCTGCATGGTAATTTAACTGAATTCTAACGTCGTTTTACATTTAACTACTATTTTCATAAAAAGCTCGTAAAAAACGGCCAGTAAGCTAATCGGCCTGTAATTTTTTTTCGCGTCCTTGACGTCCCCTTTCTTACGAATTAAAATGTTGTGGGCATTCTTCCAAGATTCTGGCCCCTCCTCGTCAAAAGACACTTCGTACAGAGGGGGGCTAGTTTTTCTAACAAAATCTCTCCACCTTCTTTAACAGGTCTGTTGCCTTATCCTCACCAGCGGCGTTGCTTCTTTGCATTCCTTCCAAAACATTTCTTTACTTGCCCAGTCATTACTTGTGGGATGTCAAGAGTTTTCTGGGCTATTACTGCTTCTTACAATATCATCGCGTGGTTGTCTCGGCTGCACTGCAGATCTCTGTAGAACTCCTACGCTGCCTGAACCTATCGTATACATATAGTAGTGACATTCCCTTCTTTGTACCTTAATGCATACATCCGATTTTCACCGATGCACCGGTT